GCTAAAGATCTAATATCAAAAAGATGGCGTTTTAAATCGTGAATCATATTTAAAAAAGGTATGTTATTTCCTTTAGACATACACAAATACACTTTACTACTGTAAAATAATTAGTACCAACAAGATTCTAGATTTTCTATTGTTCTTTTAAAATCTACCTTATATATCCTCAATTTTAGTTTATTGTACGAAATACTTTTTTTGTTTTTTATTTTGTTTTATAATTCAATCTAAATTTTTCTTCAAATCGAGATATTATTGCTTAAAACAAGTAGGTTAGATCAATGGGCCTAATTCCAAGGGATCTAGACTAAATGTGTATGTATGCACTTTCGATTATTTGTCAGAAAAAACAAACAAAAAAACTATTACACTTCATTAGAAAAATGAATTAATCGAAACCTTTTTTTAGAAATCGAAAAAAATATCTACAGTCTACGAATTATGAATTATTTTACATGGAAAAAAAATCAATTGAAGTAATATACCTTTTTAATTAGTATCTCTAACAAAACCAAAATGATCAGTATAAGGTTGTGCTCACTAGTGACTAACTTCGTGAGGGAATTCTCGGAGTTCTATTGAGTAAACCGAAACCAGTGGAGTTATTCCCATGTTGGGTAGAGACAGGTATTTACTTCAGTACAATGGAAGATGGTCCCTCAATTTCGTGGATTAGTTGAGGTTCAACATTAACACCGTTGGATGCTAGCCGGCTCAGTGGTCAATTAGATTAGGCGTTCGCGCGCGAGGCTGAGGACCCCGGGTTCGAATCCCACGAGTGGGATCGCGGATGCGCACTACTGAGGAGTTCCACAATAGAACGAGGCGGCCGTCCAGCGTTTCCAGGTTTTCAATGGTGGTCTAGCATCAATCGGTTCAAGATCTCAATCAAAAGCCAAAACTGATTGCATCATCAACTTCGTTTTATTTATTTTTTCGTTTCTTAATATTACTTACTTACTTATTTACGCCTGTTACCCATTGTGGAGGTGCATAGGCCACCCGTTCAGGATTTTTCATCCCCATATATTAGTACGTAATGGACACTAAAATAAACTTAAGGAGAGGAGCGCATAAGAGTTTATTCATTACAAACGTTTATGTAATTTTGAAATTAAGGAGTTGAACATAAATATTGATTGTAATTTATAGAATCAATCAATAAAACTGATGCAAGGATGATTACACAATTAGATTATTAAGATGAGTGGATCATATAAAATGAAAGAAATGAATAAAACTTATAAATTCGTGAGAAATGCGATAACTAAGATTAAGAATAAGGTTTTGGCAAACTAATAGGAAGTATAGACATTTTTCTGTACCTGAATCTTGGGTCTATCGATGTGCACTTTTATGGCTTCGGCTATATGTAGATGACAATATCTGGAATTGTAATGGAAGTTAGATGCTAAATTTATATCGCTATTGTGACTGATATCTGCTAAATGTGGCAAAACTGATCGTCTTATATTCTCTTATGTCATTCGGTCAGCCTTGAGGGGTAATATTTAAAAACATATTGATGTAGTTGGCTGGTTGTATGCTCAATAGTCTAGGTAAAATCTTTTACTCATCGATTTTAATTGTTGACCTGTGGTATACTTTATAACTTACAATCGATGATGACGACGAATATCAACTCAAACTGACTGGAAGTTAGATACACAATAACAATTTAACGTTTGACTCCCAACCTTGAAAATATCATTAGAATATACCCTGTCTCAGAAGTCAGCTTACCCAATAACTCAATCAGTTAAATTGTGTAAATCAAGTCAAATTGTATGGTGTTATCTCAGATTGGACTGGTAGTACTGGACAAACCGGTTTTTATGTATGACTTTGAGACCAGAATAATATATAGTCTAATTCAAACGCCAACGCATTATCTACTGAGTTACTGTGTTCAGATATCTGCTAACGTGTTTAACAGGTATGATGCTCACGTCATTATTACACGCTGGCATTTGAACCAAAAGGTACTGAGATGGAGATGTAATGCGAACATTAAGAGAGGGATGTAGCTAAAACTATCTAACTAATATCATATTAAATGATATGTTCATTTTTGGATTCCTCCGACATATGCAATCTTCCTATTCCATAAAATTTATCACTTACTTACTTACTTACGCCTGTTACTCCTCGTAAAGGAGCATAGGCCGCTCACCAGCATTCTCCATCCAACCCTGTCCTGGGCAATCCTTTCTAGCTCCGTCCAGTTGTAATTCATCGTTTTCATATCTGCTTCTATTATCCGACGCAATGTGTTCTTTGGCCTTCCTCTTTTTCGCTTCCCTTCAGGATTCCAGGTTAGGGCTTGCCTCGTGATGCAGTTTGACGATTTGCGTAATGTATGTCCTATCCATTTCCATCGTCTTTTCCTAATTTCTTCTTCAGCTGGAAGTTGGTTTGTTCTCTCCCACAGAAGGCTATTGCTGATGGTATCCGGCCAATGGATGTTGAGTATCTTGCGTAGACAGCTATTTATAAATACTTGTACTTTCTTGATTGTGGTTGTTGTAGTTCTCCAAGTTTCAGCTCCATACAGTAGAACTGCCTTGACGTTCGTATTGAAGATTCTTACTTTGATATTGGTTGAAAGTTGTTTTGAGTTCCATATGTTCTTCAATTGTAGGAAAGCGGCCCTTACTTTGCCGATCCTCGCCTTTACGTCTGCATCGGATCCTCCTTGTTCAAAGTGGACTATCTTCAATTCCTACTAAGTCAAAATATGTATCGTAATTGTAGTGTCATCACAATTCAAGAATCTTGGCTTTTGAGAAAAGACTTTGTTGTATAGTGGAGAGTGCTGAAGGCAGTTAGCAAGACGTGTGGTGAATCTTTCGAGATCATGATTATTATGGTTGTGGATAGACATGCGAACTCGTGGCAGGTGTCATTTTATCAGATTCTAACCATCCCCTTCACTCATATCTTTCTCCTTGTATATCTTCTGGTAGAACGAAACATTAAAATCCATGCATGCAAGAAAAAGCATAAAAGTTCTATAATACCTTACCTAGCAAATATACTTTGTGACAAACAGGTTGTTAGAGTTAACCTGGTCAATGACCTGCATTCATAACATGTCTCTAATTTGAAAAGTTGTACAGTTTTTCAAATTTTTTTAAAATCCTGTTTTCCCTTTTTTGTCTTTGTTTCTGTTTTTCGTGTGTGTGTAAGAAACTTGTTGAAATACCCTGTGCTGAGAATTCTATATTGTACCAAAATATAATATTGAATAAAGCCATTAATAATAATAATAATAATAATAATAAATCTGTAAATATAAGTAGCTCGAATCTGTTTAGCAGCTTTAATTTACAAGTGAAGTCTCAATCAAACGACTCAGGTACTTAACATTATAAACTGGAGTTATTATTATTTGTTTGTTTTTTACCGTTATTTATTCTCAGTATATTGAGAGGATTTTCATTGATGAAACAACTCATAATTACCTAATAATACATGTTATTGATAAATGTGTCCACACAGATAATGTACAAACACATGTTATCTGAAAGTATATGTCTCTAGTTAATTAAGTTCCTACAAGGATAACTAAATGAAAAGAGTATGTGTATATACTTATGATATATATATATTCTCTTAGACTTTTCTCTACACCTCCGCATTTGTGACCGCTGCCTGTCCTATACTATTTTGTTGAGTTTCACTATTTAAACTTAGCTAGAGAGACAGAGTGGGAGAAACGATATATAGGTAGATAATTAACTCTTTTGTTTGTCCAACTAGCTTTCTAAAAATAATGCTAATAATAACGATATGACTTGATTTTATACTTTAAGCAGTATATCTTTAAAGTTAATTTAGTGAAATTCACTCATTCATTATTTCACAATTGTAATACATACTCTTAATTTATTGTGGTGAGTGTTACCTCCCCGTTCAAAATTGTATTGTATGAATTAAATATACGTGAGGGTAATCAAGCTTTATACAAGGATTAATAAAAGTGAGATATTTGGCATTTTCGACTATTTCTCCGTCGTCATTGATGCATATAAGAGTGTAGTTTTCTCTAGGGATTTCATCTCAATCATCCAAAGCTGTTTAAATACATGTTCTATGAACGCATCACTGTAGCACATCTCAACTTGACTGATGAAAAAAAAGTTAGAGCTTCAAATGAAATTCCCAGTCAAAATTATGCTATTTTATGGAGCACTCAACCGTTAAATGAACAGAAATGTGCCCGGAAATAGTTGGTAGCGCACACATGCTGAATATGGAAGGACAAACGTGCTACGAATTCACTGATCTCATTAAACAAATAGTTTTTGCTAATTTTCTCGTCCTTATTTTTACTTTCTACTACTATAACTACTATTACTAAGATAGTGGTCGGAGGTAGTCGACAGGAAATTCTGAATCTAGTTTTCATGCTATTCAGCATTCGTCAACAAGGATTCGATCTACACTAAGAATGATCTGACACACATGACATTGATCACCATTTAGTGATCAATCAGTTGTAATTACTTCTATTAATACTGATAAGCTAAATAAAATATGAGAATGTGTTTTATTTCTAATTGTTTTAAAATGATCAGTTTTTGTTATTGTTTAAATTAAGCAAAAATAAAAGTATTTGCAGAATACAATGCCATAGTTTAAATTTATGAAAGGGAACCAACTAATTTAAAATGATCAATAATAATTTTTAAAAAAAATTGTAGGCTAGGTAATCATTATTAGATATTTTATAAATGAATGCACCGAATACTACGAATGCAATATTGATTGGTAAGTTTGAAATTATTGATCGATGAAGTAATCGTTATAGTAATCGGTATAGAATAATGAATCGATAATTATCAACTGTAAAAGATATTTTAATTATATAACATGCGAAGATAAATGCACTAATGAGTTGTGAATCATACACATTAAAATAGATGGGGCAATAGATGATATAAAAGAATTTTCAAAATGTGGATCATAGTTGGATTTACAAACAAAAAACAACATTATAAATAGATGATTTTCTCAAAGAAACAAACTAACACCAGCGTCATTTGATCATCATCATCATCATCATCATCATCATCATCATCATCATCATCATCATCATCATCATCATCATCATCATCATCATCATCATCATCATCATCATCATCATCATCATCATCATCATCATCATCATCATCATCATCATCATCATCATCATCATCATCATCATCATCATCATCATCATCATCATCATCATCATCATCATCATCATCATCATCATCATCATCATCATCATCATCATCATCATCATCATCATCATCATCATCATCATCATCATCATCATCATCATCATCATCATCATCATCATCATCATCATCATCATCATCATCATCATCATCATCATCATCATCATCATCATCATCATCATCATCATCATCATCATCATCATCATCATCATCATCATCATCATCATCATCATCATCATCATCATCATCATCATCATCATCATCATCATCATCATCATCATCATCATCATCATCATCATCATCATCATCATCATCATCATCATCATCATCATCATCATCATCATCATCATCATCATCATCATCATCATCGTCATTATTATTATTATCTGATTGATTAGAACTGTTCTAGGTTAAGTTATCATTCAAAAGAAGTGGTGTGTTGTGACGTATTTGTCATATCGAAGGTCGAAATACACCAAACCCTTGATTTATTTCATATTCATCACTATATTTAGCAACGTTTTATAATACTACTGAGTCATTTACTCAGAAGCTATGTAGATCGACCAATTTACTTATTCGCAATCAGTAGATGGATTAAAGTGTATGTTGTAACGGGGCAAAGTCTAAAAATAAACTGATAAAAAATTGAATTATGTACTTTCGAATGTTAATAAAGTTGACGTACTCACTGAAAGACCCTAATACTTTGGGTTCCTTCTCTAGCACCGCAGTAAGTGGTCATGGTTATGGAGTATTAAATGAGAAAAAATTAGCTGGTCATCACGTGATGGAGATCTTTTTTTTAAAAACTATCTGATCTTCAAGATAAAAGTCAGGAAAGAAGTCTAACAATATTTAAAGTCAATCAAGTAATAGTAGATGTTGCTTCAGAAATTCGGTGATTTGTAAACTTGACTTCATTTTGCTTAAGCTTTTATGTAACAAAGAAACATAGCATAATACGACTCAATTTGAATGATAAGTTAGCTTCAACTCCAAATGATCAGTCCTAAACAACTGGTACATGTGCTGATCGGTTCAAGTTACCATTCTACATCAGAACACTGATACGAAATTATTGAGACAAATGACACAGTAGTATCAGTGATAGTAGAAAATATTTGGAGCAAATAATACAATTTGATAAGCGTGAATGAACAAAGTAATTTGAAAATCAGTGCATATGAGAAGACAATGAATCAATGGATTTGAACCATATTACCTAATTTCTTCAACCGTTGGTTACAATAACCGTGTGAACTTCAACTAGGTAGTCAACATCCACCAACATAGATGACCTCATGGACCAATAACAAGTATTGGTTAAGCCCCCTTCTTTACTCTCTTGAATTAATCATCCAACATCCAGCGTAGAGATAGGCGTTGATAAAAAGTAAAACCAGAATTCATTGTTAAATTATATTGATTAGAAAAGCATAGAAAATCTAGGATATCAAGAATAAATACTTATTTCTCAACCAGAATATTTACATTCACTTGGTGTTGTTTTACTTGTATCTTGCCATTGTTATTTAGGACTGCGATTGATCAGTCTCACGTTGGCATATATGCATCCTATGCAGATTGCCCTGATATTGCTTTAAGTCACAAACTTTTTAAGCAAAGTTAGATAGTGGTTAGCAGTGGAATCCAGGATGTGCGTTTCGTCCTATATTTACTATTCTAATATGTATGATGTCTAAGTATTTGTACTGTTGAAAAAATCTCGAACCATTAATAAATAATAAATTTTTGCAATACTGTTCTGTTTAATAAGATTCTCTCATATTTAATTTGGTAATGATCTTAATCTGTATTATTATTATTATTATTATTATTATTATTATTTTGATTATTTATCTCAACTGACCTTCCATTTTGTGTTTTATTAACTGTTTCCCAATATTTAGTTCCAGTTTAGAATTGTTTTCTGAACTTATTATAGTATTGTAATATTCATAATGTTAAGAAGTGAAGCCAGAAAATGACATTTTATCTAAGTTTAAATCACGAATTTACCGCATCATAATTACAATGAAAAAATTTGTAAATTAATCAGTAAACAGGAAAATATTGGATAATTCAATATATTATTGATTATAATGTGAATAATGAACGATGTCAAAATAAAAGTTGCACTTATCAAATAAGTAATATCAATAGTTGAGATCATGAGTCAATTGAATCTAGACAACCATGGAAAACCTGGAAGCATTGGATGGCCGTTTCGCCCTATTGTGGGACTCTTCAGCAATGCGCATCGACGACCTCGCCCCACGAGATTTGAACCCAGTATTTTTCGGTCTCGCGCGCAACCGCTTAACCACTAAAACACTGAGCCGGCTGGCATCCAACGGTGTTAATGTCTAACTTCAATCAATCCACGAAATTGATACACACATCCACCATTGTCATCAATGAGTTACTACATCACAACTGACCTAGTTGAACTCACTAGAAATTCTGGAGGTACCTTTTGGAAGCCAGTCAGTAGTGAGTATATGTTGATTAGTATCGGAAGAGGAGTTCCACAACAGAACGAAACGGCCGTCCAGTGCTTCCAGGTTTTCCATGTTGGTCTAGCTTCAAATGACTCATGATCGCAACTATCTCCACAAAACCCCTTCTGATACTAAATAAGTAATATATTCATTGATGGATTGTGATTAACAGTAAGATAAAGAACAAGTGTTTCTTCCGATTTCAACACTTGTCAAATGGATAAACCTGAATCTCGGTGTCAATAGTTACATTGAGATTCGAACTCAAAACACTTTGCTTCAAATAATAATGAGATAATTTAAATCTTTCCTAATGATTATATAAATATCACAGTTGTTGAACAAAGAACAATAGATATATGAACTCTGTAGTACAGTGGTTAAAAAAACGCATTAATTTTTGAATTAAGAAGCGCTGGGTTCTAGTTCCAATGTGAATATCAAATTTGGGGTGTAGATACATCTAGCTAACGAGTTGCAAATATTATGAAACGCTCCTACTGTATTCCAGGGTTACAGTCAATTTCTTCTAAAAAACCTTTTACATAATGTTATACTTAGGGTCACTACTCAGCTTTACATTCATTTTAAAGTTGGATAACATTTCTCAGATGCGAATCAGAAAATGGAAATATTTGGGAAGTGTTAGTGGTAAGATGAGTGATAAATAGCCAAACCGCTTATTGAAGAGTAATCAATGTTTTATACTACCTAGTCTTCAATAGTATCTATTCCATCGATCAGGTCTTTGGTGTGATAACTATGGTTAAAGTGATTGATAATATTTTTTTACTGAGATTTACTGGATTAATCAGTGAGCACAATTTTCAGTTTCAACCAAATTTCTCATACATTTCCTCAGGGATTCATACGTTTGTCATATTTACTATAGACCTTTCGTTTTATAGTATACCTATACAGTAGCAATCGGTGTTATGCAGAATAATCTTGTAGGAGACGATAGTTAGTGACCAAAATGATAAAGTCTCTGATTGTCTTAATGTAATGTAGATTTAGATCCCATTCTGATGTCCTCAACATTTCAGTTAACATGTTTGTGTTATTTTTGCGTCGTTCGCGCTATATTAGGAGGATAAAATATCTAGAAGATTGTTAATAAATTATCCTTAGAGATTATTTGGTACTTATCATACCCCACTCCTGACAATTTACTGATGAATTAATGAATGAATTAATTAATTTTGAACTCAAATACATTCAGCACACAGTTGGCATACATACTTGGTAAATTCCATAAAATTATAGGTTCATATACATTCACTTGACAAGGTATTTTTGTAGGGGCGGAATGTTTCTTTTTGAAACTAACGGAAAACCTTGTCTGAACTCAGTAATCAGTAACGAAATTATAGATACGTTGTTTTTCTTAGGCTGCATGATTGTAGATTATGCAAACGTAGTATTTTTAGAAATCTTTTTGATGACGTAAAGTATTTATACAGAAACATGATGGTGTCAGATAGGTGAATAAATTTATATTGAGATATTGAACTAGTGACATCAAGTGTCACCCAAATCCATAGAGCCATAATCGTAAAATGCAAAGTAACTTTAAGTTATAATACTTTGGCTTGTATTGTAAAAATCGTCAGAAATTAGAAATATGAATCATTCATAGGAAGATATGGACAGTTTAAAAATCTGTCAAATGGTTAAGGAAATGGACAGGAATATTTTGCTCTTTGTATTAATACCAAACAAATTGGTTATGCTAATTGGTTAGTAAGCAGTGGTTTAGCTTTGAATGATGATTGGGTTTTACTGATCCAGTTTAAAATTGTGGTCAACAAAATAAATGTCTTCACATTGCTATAACATAACCTTAATGTTGAATTTTTGAGCTAGAAATATTCAAATAGTAATTCCTTATTAAAGCAATGCACATGTTCAAGAATTATCACGAACTGATCTAAGCTAGACCGCCATCAGAAAGCTGGAGATATTGGACAGCGATTTCGTCCCCCCATGTTATTCCTCATTAGCGGACACCGACCACCCCTCGAACGGCAAACGAACTCAGGGCCACACTCTCGCGCAACATCGCTTAACCCCTAGAACATTAAACTAGAATCCAATGGTAACTTCAATCGATTTATGATAATGAGTAAATGTAATTTATTACATGAGGGGAATAAATGTCTCATACCCGACATGGATTGATTTCTACTGTTCACGGTTTCCCACTAGAAACCAAAGAGTTACATTTTAAAGCTATTCGCTGGTAAGCATGTGGTTATTATTAGTTTCAGAGATTTGTTAAGTCTGTGGACATTTCATAATTTGAATAACTCGCGCGAGAACAAAAATCCATGGCTCAATTCTTACGTGAGGTGTAATGACTTTTCACTGTTGGGGATCCCCATATTACGGTGAAACGGCTGTTCAGGGCTCCCAGGTTTTCAATGGCGGTCTAGCTAATATCAATTTGTGATTCAAACTACAAAAATTTTACAATCTCCACAAATCACCTATATTGATAAGTCGACAAAAATTATGGTTTATATACATATGTGGAACAGTGATAATAATGATAATATGTTCCTGTTTTATCTGACGAGTAATAATTAAGTGATGCATTTAAAAACTTATTCTATCAGTTTTCATATACGATCATCAGACTGTCTTGATTTTAAGTTAGTGTCGTCCTTAGTCAATGCTTTTGTTATTAAATGCAAATGCATTTAATATTCATATTGTCTCACTTCTATTCTTATGTTCTGATATAATTTAGATTCCTGTACACATTATTCTCTGAACACTTTTCCTGCATACAGTAAGCTTCGAGTTTAAACACGAAATTATCAAGGAGAAAACATTACAATGATGTTATTTCTAGGTCTATTTCGTATATCGTAAAGGTTTGGTGAATTGTAAAATCGGATGAAAAAAAATGAAAAAATGATGCTCTGCAACTTTTGAATTTTATAAATGATCAGAAATGACAGTCGTACAGTATCAGCACTTAATTGGATTTTCATTATCAATTGAATCAGTGAAATTCAGAGAGCACAACACAGATGATACTTTTGTGTTTGACATTCAACTGTGGTTTGTATTTGAAAGTTCATATAAAAGCTAATCATGGATATTTAAATCCCTTGGTTAGCTGAAATTCAGTATTTACAACAAACGAACTTATCAGTCACTACATACAGTAAGTGTTTATTAGTAATGATTGCATGGACGACAGCCGGTTATTCACGGCTTGTTAGGTCCACTA